CAGGGAAAAGTAATGGGAGTTAAGAATTTTGCCAGTATCCAGCCTCCCAAATTCTACAATGTATAAGTTTGTTCTTTCTTTAAAACAGAAGCTGTATATCCATTCATTGCATGTGATTCACTGAAGTCATGTTGTAAAACTTTAGAGACCACATCATTATCTCTACAGCGTCATCTCACGGGCTTCCTTTCTGACAAATTCTCTTCTCTTGGGGTGGTCTTGAGGCATTTTTTCCTGTCGGAGTTGGAGCTCTGGTCTATGTCACCTATGTCACCTAGCTCTGGTATGATTTTGCAGTAATGTGTTCACCTGGGAAAAATTCTCAGATTGTTCTTTGGGCCATATTGTGAACATGTCACCTATAAATCAAATTCTGCTTGGTCCTGGCATGTCGAACTCAATGCAGAGCTCCCTGCAATGTGTTTCCTGATCTTTGGAATTTAGAATGGGTTGTGTTTTTCTTGTCCGCAAAATAGAAATTTGGATTCCTAACCTGGCTTATTCCACAAGACTTTTGAGGCACTGTCCTTTCTTATCGAGTGCTTTGGTGAAGGCATAAACTGAGGGGGAATTTGAAGAGATGCATAGAGAGTTTCACAGTGATCATAAAGGCAGCTGGCAGTATGTGAACTACAGAAAAGGACCTGTGAAGGGAGATAAGCGTCAAGGGCCAGATGCTGCAATATCTGGGTGAGATTATCATTCCTTAAATATGCGGGCAATATAGTTAAGCACAGTTGGGCAGAACAAGTAACAGGTGCTCTCTGGTGCTTTTATTGTTTGTTACGTGTGTAACACTCTTTAGCCAGAACAAAATAAACACATGTCCTGGTTATTTAATAACAAGAAAAAGGCCACACAAATCAGGGTGAAAAGACAAATAGAGGGGAGCAAATACTCTCCTTTGACAGGTGGCAGGTAGCAAGAGGGGCAGGGACCAGGACAGTGTTAAGGTGAGGGATTGAGCTGCAATAAAGAACTTTCCAACACTGAGGTCTGAAGCCCGGGGTATTGCTGGGGGTTGGACCCTTCCTACCTCTCATCTTGGTGATGGTGGTTGTGGGGGGAGGGGGGCAAGTTCACCTACAGGGAGGGGTATCAGAGGAATGCAGACCTGGCCATCCTGCAGGAAGGGGAGGTTTGAATGAGTTGCAGAATGGGGTTGTGAGTTAGGGCACAGAGCTCTTTGCTCCAGGGAGTTGGGGTGAGTCACGAGACAGTGGGGTGGAGCCGGGACAGAAGGCAGCCACATAGAAGCCTGGCTGCCACCTTGAGCCCCTGCCAGATTTGGGATGTCCTTTTATAGGCCAGCTGCCCACGGAGCAAGGGTCACCAGGCGGAGCATCAGCGCTGGGGCCGGCAGACCCTATACCCCGAGAACCCCTGGATTTCATGTGTTCACCTGATGGTTGGCAATTGTTGGCCTGATAAAGAGCTACCTTCTAAGGAAAACTTTTTTTTTTAATGGTTTGGTTAATTATTTTATTGTTCTGTGATCTGGATGATTTCAAAAATAGGTAGTCTAGGTAATTCTTCAGCAGGCCCCAAACTACAAGTAAGAGGGTGGATTAGACCCCAAGAATCTCTTTTTCCTTGTGTCCAGGACTTGATAAAATGACTTCCACAGACGTATCTCTCATTTTCATTTGACCTTTATACCTCCCTCTCACACCGATCTTCAGACCTCTTACACTTGCTGTGGGGATTGTTTTAGAACTGTGCTTGCAGGAGTACAAACTGCTTTAGATGTGTGCCTTGAAAGTTTATCTTTAACTGCAAACGGCTTCCGTGAGTGAGGACAGACCTGCAGAGAGAAAGACAAGGTGGGAGGTTGTGTTCTGTTTTAGGAATGTACAAGCCCGGGCGCAGAGGAGGTGCTGCAGAGGAGGTGCTGCCTCTTACACAGCGGGACACTGCAACCATCAGATCCAGCTCTGACACGAGAGCCTCTTGCTTTCTCTGCTGCACAGCGATGGTGGCCTCTGGCAGGAGAGGAAGTTGTCCCCAGTGAGCACTCACAGACCAAGAAGGGGGAAGCCCTGGTGGCTGCAGGAACCCAAGTATTTATTGACTTGAATTTCACAAGAAGGTGAAAATGGAAGCATGCCAGGACCTCTGTGTGATTTTATTAATAAACAAACAAAACCATCTCCAGTTGCTTTTTTTCCTCAGAGGACAGAATCTGAGGGATGAAGGAATTTAGAATAGTTCTAATCAAGTCTGGGCATAAAATCAGGGTCAGACTAAGCAATCACTAAGTTAATAGTTAAGATGGGTGACAGTTAAGGATAAGTAAGATATATACCAAATTGTACTCAAGATTCTTCAAAGACTCTTGCAGAATCACCTGGTGTATTTGCTAAAAATAGTTTAAATCCCAGATTCCATCCCAGACTTAGGGAACACCCTGGGATTAGTTCCATTGGGAAAGTTTGAGAAACAGTACTTTAACCTATATGCATACTCTTAAAAAAATAAAAACTTTCTTCAGTGTTGACATGCTTGATTCTTCGGGGTTATCATCGGGTAGGGACATCTCAGCGTCTTCTCTCATCCTAGTGGGGGGGTCGGGTCTGTCTCTGCTCACCTTCCGTGGCTGAGTGGATACACAGATTCTTTCAACTCCTTCATGGGGGCAGCTGGGTGGAGAATCTCTACCAATATCTGATCTCTAGATCTTTCCCTCTCCCCACTTTCCTCCATGTGGCCAGAAGATAAGATCCTGGGGGTGGGAGAGTGGGGGAAAAGGGGCCCCACCTGGGCTTCACCCTCAGCTGCCTGTTTTAGACTTTCTTGTCCAGATTCTGCAAGGGGAGCCTGCTGTGCATGATGAAGAGGTTCTGGACCCTTATTCTGCCATTGCTCCCTTTACGTATAAGATGCTCAGCGACCCTGCAGGGAGGGAAGCTGATGAGGAGGGAGATGCATAAAGGAGATGAAAGTGGGGGGGGAGGCAACAGAAAGGAGGGCTGAGGGTGGTGGGGGAAGATGGTCAGGGGATGGAGGAACAACAGGATGGGGGCCGTGAGGAAGGGATGGGTGAAGAGGGGGTCCCAATGGGGACAGATGGCTGATGATGATAGAGGGAGGTAAGGGAGGGTGGTGAACACTGGGAAAGGGGCTGACGAGCAGGGAGTCTGGTGGAGGGCAGTGGGGCAGTGGGAGGGCTTTGGGAGAGAATGGCTGGACCAGTCAGGAGGGAGGCTGACAGGAGGGTGATGGGGAGGGGTCCAGAAGGGAAAGAGGCACAACAAGTGGGGGGCCCATGGGGAGGACCTGGTTGTTTGAGGGACAGGATCTGGTTATTTCCAGAGCCCTAAACATACCAGCACCAAATTCTGTCAAAACCTTCCTCTCTTAACCATGGCATTATCTTTACATAAAAGATGCTTTGAGTGATAAAATATTCAATGTCTAAGAACGCCTGGAGCACCCTGTGGCCCTGCCACATAGTCTGTCTAAACTGCCACCACCACACTGTCCCCTTGTGGAGCTCGCTATAATTACAGGCAAAGAATCCAAAGGAAATGAGTGCTTTGAAACAAAAGTAGAAAGTAGCAGCAGTATTACACACAAATTTGTGGAAAATGCACGAATTTCAAGCATAATGCTAGGAAAGAAAACTCCCGCTCTTCCTCAGCCACACATATTCTCAAACATTTGTTTCTTTTTGTAAGCATTTAGAAAAAGTAGCAAGCAAGCCAGCATACTTTCTGATGCTATTTCTCATTTCTAGGTTTTGGAAGTAGATTTCTGCCTGGAGTTTAACTTCCTGAAGCTCATAGACGTTGTAACAACATTTTTTGTGTGTGCTTTGAATAACTAAAGGGAACCAATAACAGTTCACTAAAACCGTCAAATTATTCTTTCTTAATTAAGAACAATGGATTTAACTAATCAGAGTTGGAGTGAAGCAGGGGCATAATCTGGAGTGGGAGCAGAGGCCTGAGGACAGTGACTACAAGCTGATGGCAATCTTGAGCCTGCAAAGGGAGGGCAATGACGTTGCACTTGGTACTTCCCGGGCAGCCTGCCCTGTAGGTGGCCTCCAGCTGCTTAGAACAACTACATAAGGAGTGTGGATACTGAGAAGCTGCAGAGCTCTGGAAAGTAGACTCATAATCAGATGACCTTGTGCGGGGGTCCTCTCCTTTCTGTGGTTAGCTTCTGGCTGCTCCCAGATGTCCCATGTGGCTTTGCCACAGCCTCCATCACGCTGTTACCTGCAGGGTCTGTGGAGGCAGCAGGGAGGACACCAGGACACCTGGAAGCTGGGAAATGGATTCAGGGGCCTTTGAGAACTGTGAACTTCACTCTGGAGGAGTGGGCTTTGCTGGATCCTTCTTAGAAGAATCTCTACACAGATGTGATGCTGGAAACCTTCAGGAACCTGGGCTCTATGGGAAAAAACTGGGAAGCCCAGAACATTGAAAATCAGTGCAAAAGGCCCAGGACAAATCTAAGGGGTTATGTGGTAGAGAGAATCTGTGAAGGTACAGAAGATGATCAAGGTGGGGAAACCTCCAGCCAGGTTCCATATTGTCATCTGAACAAGAAAACTCCTCCTGCAGTAAAACGAAGTGAAAGCAGCATGTGCAGAGAGTCTTCACCTGTCCTTCATCCCCTAATAGGCACATCAGAGCTCACTCTGGACAAAAACCATATGAATATCATGAATCTGGAGAGAATTGATACAAATGTAAGGAGTGAGGGAAAACCTTCAGTTATTACCACTCTTATCAAATGCGTGAAGGGACTCGCACTGGAGAGAAACCCTGTGATTGTAAGCAGTGTGGCCAGGCCTTCATTTCTCTCATAAGCATTTGAAGACACATGGTAAAGCACACTGGAGATGGACATTATAAATGGACCATGTGTGGGAAAGCTTTGATGCTGCCAGTACATTTCAAGTACATGAAAGAACACACACTGGAGAGAAACACTATGAATGTGAGAAATGTGGGGAAGCCTTCAGTTCTCACTTAAGCACTGAAAAACACATGACAGTGCACACTTATGTGTGGGAAAGCTTTGATGCTGCCAGTACATTTCAAGTACATGAAAGAACACACACTGGAGAGAAACACTATGAATGTAAGAAATGTGGGGAAGCCTTCAGTTCTCACTTAAGCACTGAAAAACACATGACAGTGCACACTGGAGGTGGATCTTATAAATGTAGGTTGAGTGGGAAGGGCTTTGTGCATCCCAGTTTATTACGAATGCATGAAAGAACGAACATACACTGGAGATAGTCCTTATAAATGTAAGGAGCTGCTCCTAGTACATTAAAGATACATGAAAGCGCACACACTGGGGAGAAGCCCTGTGAAAGTAAGAAAGGTGGGAAAGCCCTCAGTCTTTCCAGTTCCATTCAAGTACATGAAGAAAGTGCCACTGGAGAGAAACCCTAAGTAAAGAATGTTGGACAGTCTTCATTATCACACAGCCTTTCTCACACACAAGAAAATGCATAGTGGAGAGAACCTGTATAAATGTTAAGCATGTGGGAAAGTCTTTAGTCATCCCGGTTCAATTCAAAGCCGTGAAAGAATACACAAAGGAGAAACCTCTTGAATATAAGCAATGTGCAAAAGTCTTCAATGGGCCCATACGTAAGAATGCACACTGGACGAAAACCCTGTAAGTGTGAAAAACACTAAGAAGATTTTAGTCTTAACAATTACTTTTAAACTCATGTGAAGGCTCCTGATGTAGGAAAATCTTGTAAATGTAAGTAGTGTGAAGAGCTTGGTGCAAAGTTATGTGTGTAGAATGTTCCAGAAAATATACAACTTGAAAGAAGTGTTCTAAAGTTTATAAACATACTGTCTTTATCAGTGGCTCCTTAGAGTAGATCTCTGGACTATGCATTTCTTTTTCTTTTTTAATATTATTTTATTTTGTCAATATACAATGTGGTTGATTGTTGTGGCCCATTACCGAAACCTCCCTCCCTCCTCCGTCTCCCCACTTCCTCCCAACAATGTCCTTTCTGTTCACTTGTCGTATCAACTTCAAGGAACTGTAATTGCTGTGTCTTCTTCCCCCCCGCCCAGTTTTATTGTGTATTTATTTATTTATTTTTAGCTCCCACCAATAAGTGAGAACATGTGATATTTCTCTTTTTGTGCCTGACTCGTTTCACTTAATATAATTCTCTCTAGGTCCATC